GCAGGCACGCAAGCAACGGCCTCTTCTGGACGGTGTTAGATACCTTATCGACGGAAACCGCTGCCCAAAGCACTGCCAAAAGCTGCTGGGATGCTCTGATATTTGTTTCGGTGCCCACCCCCTATCTGTTAGGGGTAAAGTAAACCAGCAAGGGAATTCGCCCCCTCTCCTGCCATCCGAGGGAACAGAGCATCCAATTCCCAGCAGCAGCTGCATTCAGCAATTTAACGTTACGTTTCTATGCGTCGTTTCTTACACACTTCTATTTTATTGGTGTTATTTGACAGGAAAAATACCTTTTTGTGGTTTAGCCTGTAGAGAACATTTTAAGCTCAGTAACTGCTGTCGCTGCCACGGCGTTCCCAAAGCTGGAATGAAAGGCGTCACCGCTGCCAGGTCCCAGCCACACGGGTACCACTTCTCAGAAATATTTTCAGCCAGAGCCTTAGAGCTGATGCTAACCAGTGTCACACAAATCTATTTAAAATTGGGCACATAATCTGCATGAGCGCTTAGTTTGGGCTAAACTGAATAGGGACAGGTTTAGTTCGGACTAAACTGAACAGAATCGTAGAATCACTTTGGTTGGAAAACCTTTAAGATCATCGAGTCCAACCTTTAACCTAACCCTGCCATTAAACCCTGTCCCTCAGCACCTCATCTGTCCTTGTTTTAAATACCTCCAGGGATGGGGACTCGACCACCTCCCTGGGCAGCCCCTTCCAGAGCCTGGCAACCCTTTCAGTGAAGAAGTTTTTCCTAATGTCTAACCTAAACCTGCCCTGGTGCAACTTCAGACCATTCCCCCTCGTCCTATCATCTGTTACCAGGGAGAAGAGACCGACCCCCACCTCCCTACAGCCTCCTCTCAGGCAGTTGTAGAGGGACAGGTTTACTATTCGGGCTGAATAAGCCACTCCTACCAAGAGCAATTAAAAGCTGGTTTGGATTAAATTAGTGCAACTTTTCCCCGTGGAAGTCGAAGAGATGCACATCTCTGCTCCAGAAAGTTGGACACCGAAATGGGAACCGAAGCGCTAACTGATGCAGGTTTAAAAGTACGCCCTGGGTGGCACCTCCCCCTGACCCCAGCAGCGATTACTTTTACGAAAAGGATGTGCAAACCCAAATCCTGCATGGCTGCTCTTCCGGAGGTCACAACACGCCACTGAAACCCGTATTTTCTTTTACTCTCTCTCTTCCAGTTGATGACCTGCTAAGAGAAGCCAAAGTTGGACCAAACGGAACAATAAAATACGAAGAATTAGTCCGCATCGTTTGTCTTCCTCCAGTCAACTACTGACATTTAAAATGAGATTTGGTAAGAGCAGGACCCGAAGCTTTTTTTGACTTCAATTTTTCCTAGTTACTACTTGGACTCGGGAACCATCATCTGCCTTTAAAAATCCTGAATTTTGCCTCAATGGTAGTGCTTCCACTTAGGCGGGTTCTCACCTATTTCTGAAGGAATGCTGTCGCAAAACATGAGCTGTTATTTAAATAAACTGAACGTAACATTCCCTTGTGTAACGCGTGTCATGCTTAAAAAAACCCAAACAACTCTAATTTAAAAAATGCATTCAAGCCTGCAGACCGCGGCGTGAAGGGTAACGTGTAGTTACGGTCTCATGGTGACTGTGCTCCAAGGCGGCCGCGATGCCCGTAACCATCCGCGGCTTCCACCCACCCAGATACGGTTCTCTGCGTAGAAGGATTCCCTGGGAAGCTTGATTATGTCACGACGGTGGTAGATTTAGTGTAACGATGCACAGCTCCCCGGTATTCCCTGGATCCATGGTGCGATCCGGTAAGGTACCTCCCAACCAGACGTTCCCCTGCCATGAGGTCGTCAAGAACATCCTACAATCACCCCCTTTCCTCCTCATCTTTCGCTCCTCCGACATGCAAGATCTCTGGACGGTTGCACTTTGGTCACATTATTTATTGAGGTGCAGGATCTTGCAAGGTCAGGTCCCTGCACAGTTTGGCCGCCCCCGTGTTCTGAGGCAAGGCACCGAAAATGCCGCGCGTGGTAAAACGTACCTGTTGGTGAGTTCTGGGCGAGCTGCCCGGAACGTACTCCTGGAGACAGCCCGGCAGGGAAAAATGGCCCAGGAAAATTCAGCTTCTCTACAACAGGCAAAAAAACCCACTCCACCTCCAGCCAAGGCCCTCAGGCTGGTATGGAATTCAGCAGGTTCTCGCTGGAGTGCAATGGAAACGCGCAGAGATCATCGGCAGGAACCTGTGGGGTACGCTGGAAGAGCAAAGGCTCCCACCGCGTCTGCTGCGGCTTCCAGCCCCTTCCCCTCCTTCCACCCGTGCCTCTCCCTCCTCCGTTTAATTCTGAAGCGACCAACTCACTCTTTGCTCAGTTTGTGAAATGACCAGCAATTAAATCACTGCAGCCGCTGCGGAGGCAACGCGTTCATCCCCTACCGAGGCACCGAGCGCTGCCCAGCGCCGCAGGCCAAGGTGACCACCAAACCCACCACGCATCGCTGCGACGCTTGGCATCAGCCGGGACCGTAACGAGCACAAACTTGGTTAGAAACTGGAAAAAACCCAAAGCATGAGCCAGGCTTCACCCTTCCAAATCAGTACCAGTGTCTCCAGAAGGGTAAGGCAAGACAGCAGCCCCAGACTAACCCAGCAAGCTCAGGCTTGGATCCTGACGTGCCAAGACACCAAGCAAAGGATCAGGCTCCGAGGGGAAATAAAATGCTCGGTGTAGCCGTGGACACACCTTGCCATGTCTACCGCATCCCTCAATTCTTACATGAGTTCTTCCTACTTTACAGATAGAAAACAAAACCAAACCCCTTCTTTCTCTGAAAATTAAGAGTTACAAGCAGCTCAGCACAGAGATAACACCCCAGAAAAACATTATACAGTGAAACGGAGATAGGATTCACTGGAAAAACCAGGAACAGGTCCCCATTAACAGAAAAGGCAGGATTTCCCTTGGAACTCTCTTCCCGCTGTTCACAGTCAAGCTCGGGGTTTGGACAACCCCCCCGTCCCCTGGCGCTGAGCCCATGGGCACCGGTGCCTTTTGGGGTCTGCCCGCAGCGCCGAGTTCGGTTTCTGCCCACCGGAGCTGTCCCGGACCGTCGCTGCGGATGCACCCGGGATGAAGGGGAGCAAAAACCTCGGTTGCTTTGAGCCTGAGCGCAATCAGCTTATGAAATGAGGAGTTAATTTAGAAGCATTTGTTTCCAATATGCATCAATAGCCAAATGACAAATGATCCAATACACAGCTTAATGCTTCCCTCTTGACCGGAACAGTTGATTAACAAATCCCTTCGGCTGCAGACAAAATAAAAGCTTGTATGTCATGGGGATCGATCGGCTCAAAATCACCTTGGATTACTCCGGAACACATCTGTATCCTACCAGGCGGTTACTGCCCTCTCCGGGTGGGTGAACATTACCCAAATCCAAGCCAGCAGAGAGGAACCCACTTCCCAGACACTCGGAAAAGAAAGCAGCCTTGGCAGAGCTGGGAGAGGCACGCGGGAGCCGCTCCATGCCACAACCCCCTGAGAAGCAAAGCAGCAAAGCGATCCTGGTCAGAAGGGACTTTTGCAACTCTGAGTTCACAGAAAACACCCACATCCCCCCCCCCCCTTTCTCCTTCACCCCCCCCAGGAAACACAACATAACAGAATGCTTTTTATTACATCTAAAGATTTCTACATAAACAGGTAACATTCAATAGGTAAACCATTTTTTTTTTTTCCAATGCATATAATAAATATTTTCACTTCGTACTTTTATACAAACTGACATTGGTCTACTATACATTTTTAAAAGCCATTTACTGGTTTGGCATGCCGTATGGAAACTAAGAGAAAGTTTTAAGGCAATGGATGACAGATTTAAATTCATGGAATTAATGGTATTTTTAATATTCTGCTTATATACATTTTTCCCTTTGTTAATTAAAACAATTAACAGCAGCACTTTTGGGGACCACCAGCAATTTTCCCTTGTTAGAAATCTAAGCTCTGTTAAAAAATAAAAAAAAAAAAAAAAAAAAAAAAAAAAACCCTAGTTATGCTGACAAACCAAAATCCTCTCTCTTTAAAATGTGCTTAAAACCCTGAAATGTTAAAACTTGCAACGAAGAATTAATTTTCAGAATGTTCTCCTCACAGTCCTTAGCTCTGTGTTGGGAGGCAGGTCCAAGAGAGTCCAGCGAAAAATCTACCGGTCACCCCGTCCTTGACCGGCTCATTGACTCCTTGCCACGGAGAGGAAGGGGCGAGCCTGGAATTGCCGTCGCGTCCATCGGGATGGAAGCGCTACGACATTTGGAACGCGTGGCATAGGCGATAGCTTAGCCATGGTTTTTCAGCTTCTAAAGGAGGCACCAGCAGCGCCCTCCGAGAGCGATCCAAAGCCACTTCCACCCCGCTGTTCCACCAGCGGCTGCGTTCCCGTGTCCGTGCGCCCACGTGCGTACACACACGGCGCCGTACGCGACGCAGACACGCGTGCACGTGCACCCCGCTCCTCCAAGCGGAGGAATTTGAGGACAAGAGACCGCGAGCCTAAGGATCACAGGAGCTCTGCAATCCGCAGCGCAGGGAGCGGTGCGGCCGGCCAGGCCGCCCCGGGTCGCCCAACTGCGTCTTTGAGAATCGGTGAGCTAATGGAGGTGGAGTTTTGGAGAGACATTTGCAGGGAACTTGTAGAGAACTCAGACCGAGACTTCTACCAAGCAATGTTAACTGTGGTCAGAGGCACAGAGAATTATCAGCTATAAAGAACACCCTAGCATGAAACAGGAATACTCACAAAGCATATGAGATTAATACCACAAAGGAGGACTTCAGAACATTTCTGTCCCTTCTTTGTCGAGCCACGAGGTTAAAAAATGACAACGGTGAACTGAACAGCCTTCCCTCCCTTCGGGGTAACTTGTGAGGAAATGGAAGACGTCATCAGCCGACCTCACTTCCCGAAAGCTAAGAGAGGCAGAAAGATGCCAGGTTCTGTGTCACCACACACTCGCCACGTTTAATTTTATATGTGAATTAACAAGATTTTAATACCATTGTCAAAAGTGACATAAAGTTGCTCTTCAGGCCATCTTTAACAATACAGTCAATGGAAACGTTGCCACGATCGTCAGGAAACCAGCCGGAAGCTCTCCCGAATTTCTCCTAGGTGTTTCAGAGGCTGGGGACGGGCACGCTCCCAGTTACACGGCCGGCAGTCGCACTCCAGATTTACAAACGGTATTATAGCAAAGCATATGCTCTGAAGTTACCAGGTTAGTATTCATGACTAAAATGTATGAGATATATTCCTAGTGTAGGTTTAATCACTTCAAAATCAGACTGAGTTTAAAAAATAAGTATTTCCCATTTTCTATCCTTTTATTTATTTTTTAACTGACATTTAATAAATTATAAAATTGGTGTATGGTGAAATATATATATCAGCCAGATATGTATGAAATACACATGCATGGGAAAAACTATTTAACTCACTTTTAACTCACACACACGGATCTATAAATACATATATACACACACATATACATATAAACACAAACATTTGTTTTCAAAATTCAAGTCAACTATTTAGTGGCAGAGGGATGCTGTAAAAACACTAAAAACGATTTTGATGCCACATCATGTGAACCTTTCAAATAACCATACGACTGATCATACAGCAATACCTAATGCTACTTGGATTAAAGATTTTTTTTTCTTTTTTTTCCTTTTTTATTTTTTCCTTTTTTTTTTTTTTTTTTTTTTTTAATCAATGCAAGATTTTTGAGACAACTTCATAGGCAAAAGGTGGCCCTTGTCAATGCTCAAAGCAACTAGCTGCAATCAACAGTTTTGGACATTAAAAATTCAGACAAGAATCTGCTCATTTTAGTATTCCTTACTCTCTCTTCCTGATAAACTTGTTACCTGCACTTTCAACCAGTTATAAAAATATTTTTCACATCAGAGGAAATATTTACTCTCTCTGATATGGACTTTGGGACACAAGAGAATCGCCTCCTTCCCTCCCCCTTCTCTTTCTTTAAAGAATCTCCTGAAAAACTGCATTCCAGCTATTTACACATTTCACTCTTTAATAAGAATGGATCAGCCCAAATGACCCACCAGTTCTAAAAAAAAAAAAAAAGATTTTCCTATGCCATGCACAACTTTTTTTAAAAAAAAAGAAAAAGAGAGAGAAAGAAAAGCAACCAGGAAGTATGGCTCAACGTTCAACATAAGTGTATGGAAGAATCGGGGAAATCAAAATAATTATAAGGCCAAAAAGAGAAAACTGAATTTTGAAACCCACTACCCTAAGAGACTTCAATAGGTAGCAACACGTTGAGTACATGGGCTACAGGGTGGGGGCTTTTATATCGGGTTGGCTTTGGGTTTAAGAGACTCACACTCAACAATTAATATTAATTTTTATGAATATGAACTCAGAAGACAGTGTACCAAGACCATTACCAGCTGCACAAACCATGCAATAGTGTGGTGGGTATTTGTATTTTCTTCCTTTTGTTGACAAGTTCACTTTTAAGCAGAAATTGGATCTACTGCAGCTAAAAGTAGGTTTCTCCACACAGAGTAAGACAGGCCTCAGTTCAATAGGCCATTTATACACGCATGGCTAACTTGAAAGCACAAGCAGTTCCACAAATTTAAAACTGACACATGCTTAATATTTTGCTGATTAGGATCTTAACGTTACTTTAAAAGGATTTCATAGTAAGTTCTTCGAAACAAACCCCTACAGCCCAATGCGTCGATGCTCTTATTAGGGGCTCAATTCTATAAAAATTCCCTGTCTTGTCCCACATAAGCACAGCCAAGTAAATCCTCAGCCTGAGGTTTTATGGAGTCTGGCCCTCAAGAATAATTGGTGCACTAATGAGCTTGCAACATGCTTGATTAAAGCGTGGAATTAAAAAAAAAAAAATAAAAAAATCGAATCGTCTGAATAGAAGGTCACATAGAACCAGAAATGACAAAAAAAATCCCAACAAACCAAACCCACTCCTGAAAGGCTACGTCCTGCAAACAGAGGGGAAGCTGTGGAATAGTTTGGGTAGGGTTTATTCCGCTTTAAGCATAATAAAATCTGCACTAAATATGGGATAGGGGAATTAGATTCCACCAAAGGTAAATGTGTCCAAGAGGAGAAAAAACCTTCTCACAACTTTGAACTTTAAAAGTTCAGCTCCTTTCCTGTTTGTGTTACTGTGGAAAAAATAATGCCATCTGTGTCCAAACTAGGGGGGGAAAAGTAACTTACATGACAAATGCACAGGTGTAAAATCTTCAACATCCATAAAAATGAACTGAAGCTCCTTGTTTTTGTTAATTTTTTTTGTTTTATGGTTTTTTTTTGGTTGTTTTTTTTTTTTCTTCTTATTTTTACCAGTGAGGCCATCTTAGGTTTATATACAAAAGTAAAACTGAAAATATACTTTTGTTCTCTGTACACATAAATTTTTTTCCCTAAAAAAGGAAAAAAACTTGTCTATGTTTCTAACATAAAGTAAAACCAAGCACAAAGATTTCCTCTGACGAGTTCATTTACTTCAAAAATCAGTCCAATGAAATAATGTCTGGTATGATACCAAAGATAGACGCCGTGTCCGTGCTGCTCCTACTTGCAACTGGATGACCATGATTCTCTCGCAGGCTGTTGGAGGAAACAAGACTGCTGTTACTGCCACTATTGCTACCATTTGTGGCTGGCAGAGAACTGCTTCCTCCTGCATTCAGCTGATCGAGAAACATCTGAGATGAAGTGTATGGGAAAAAACGAGAGTGTAAGAGTTCTTGATCATCTGATGCGGAAACTGCCGCAGCTGCAGCGGCAAGAAGGGATGTGTTGTAATGCTGGGGGGGGAAAAACAACATTTGCAAGTTACATTTCAGACACCATAGTTTTGATTCAGACCAGCACAAAAGATGGTATTTGTAAGCTAAAGCTCTGACAGCTTCTGGATTTCACACCAGCTCATCTACTCAACCTTTCTGTAAGGTACGTGGAGCGATGCAGTCAACTTTTACCTCTGCAGCCCCTGATTTCTGAAGCCAAAAGAAACTGGAAATACTAGTATTATTAGAACGAACACTAGAAAGGTAACAGTATGGCAAGACACCCAAACCAGTAAGAAACGGTAAGAAGCAGCACTTTTACCTCTCAAAAAAATTCCTCAGGGGAAAAATCCCCCAAAATTCAAAGGAACATTTTGCCATCCCTCTCCTCCGCTCAAAAGTCAGAGGCCAACCACAGCTGGTGAAACTATGTGCTAATCACGGAGGAGGAAAGCGTATTTCTGTGAAAAATGCATTTACAAATAGCATGCTTAGTCCCATTAGATGGCAGCAAGGGCTGTCCCAAGTTATACTCTGCTGGGCAGCCCCTGAAAGGCAAGAACTTTAGCTACCCGGAATCAGATCTGAAATACAACCTCCCTGCAGAGTAATTTTGCTCTTGATATTTCTTTCCTCTATGATGAAACATCCATGCAGGCTATTCAGCCTTGTTTGCCAAAATTTATGCACTGGTATAATTATGCCGTGCAGCATTGGACTTCTGCACTACTGGTTTCAGAAGAATTCTCCTATCTACATTTTACTGAATATCAAGATAGCTTTTCTGAATCCAAATTCTACAGTGGAGGCTCTGGGCTTAATTATGATATGAAAGTATCCCTCTAAATTTTGTGCAATTCTCCTACTTGAGATTGCAGAACAGCCATGAAGGGACAAAGGGCAGGTGAGCCACCCCAGCCCCCTTCTTTTCTTGGGGGCACAGGAGGAAAAGTGATCAAGTGGGAGGACTTGTCACTCCAGACTCCTTTTGGGAATGACCTGCTTAGTTCCCCAAGCTGGAGGAGCCAGCATCAATCTAGCCCATTTCAGTTAGCACTTACAGAAAGGTGGCAAACATGGTATGAACAGGCACACAGCCTCAGAAATAACAGAGCTGCCCCTGACTCTCTAAATTGTGTAAAGGACTGTCAAGAGTCCCAGTGGTGGGGCAAAAGATCAGACTTCAGGTCTGAAAAACTAAGGAGGTGACCGGTGGACCTTCAGCCACGGCCAAGAGTCATTCCACAATACGACAGTGGCTGACTGAGCTTAACCCTTGGAAACTGAAACGTTTTATTATGCCTTATCCTACACCCGTATTGAGACAACGCTTATGTTTGGTCACAGTTTCTATGTGTATAAAATAAAGCTGCAGCCTGCCTGCATTTACACCTACATCATACATCTGCTCCTTCCTCGCCTATACATCTGTGCCAGCAAGTCCTTGTCAGAAAATAGCATCTGCCATATGACTTGTTTTTCCTTGACTTACCTGATTGTCTCCTGACAGGAAAGGGAAGAAATCTAAACCTGTAAAGAGCCAAAGAAAAAAATTGAGCTTCTCAAAACAAACAAGCACCTCCCCATGTCTCCACCATTTATTTTGAAATAAAAGCAGCATAATACTGATGACACTTCCGATTCTCTTTGCTACCAGAGCTTGCAAAACATCAACCTTTTAAAACCTTAAGATACTAACCTAAATTTTTATTATTTTTTTTTAACATCATCTCATCCTCTGTGGATGCAAAATAATCTTTTGCACTAACAGGCTGTCAAATGACTGCACGTTTAAATCCTTTTACAATAGTTATTATTGCTTGGAGAGCTGTACTTACAGCTGCGAACAGCCAGAAGCTCACCTTGCAAGTCATAAGGCATAGGTGTCATATGGAATGGATGCCTGTAGTCTTGGATAAGTGATGTATTGATGTAGCTGGTGTCAACAGCAGGAAGGCTTGGTGTTCTTGACACAGGAGATGCTTGATGGGGTAGATTTAAAATGCTGGAAGAAACAAAGGCTTGTTACAAGCTTAAAATACAGTCATGGCTTTCATGCTAAAAGAACAGCATTTGAAGATTGCTATTGCTGTTGTGTGCAGGGTATAACCTATTTTCAAATTTAGCACCAAGTCTACCTCTCAATATGCATTTCAACTTTGTGACGGATGCACAACAACTCCCCTATGAAATTTCAAAGCTTCACTAGAAAGCATCAAGATGCTACAGCACCTCAATGACTCTTGTAAGGGCTGTAAGGGAAGGCAATGAGCATCACGTTACCCAAATTTTCCTCTCACAATGTCTCTTTAAAGGTATCAGAAACGTTAATTCAGTCCAAGTCAGACTGCAGCCCAGAGAGCGGAAGTCTAGCAAAATGAAAAGCAAAGTAAAGCTCAGTCTCAAACAGCAGAAACTGATGACTCACTAGAAATGGCATTGGGATTTCCGCTACACATACTCCTAAGCCAGGACAAGACGGCCCTAAAAGGTACATTGAACCCCCAAGAGGCAGAAATCTGCATAACCACACAACAGGTACGCTCTACAAGGTAATTAGCAAAGGACAACAGCCAAGAACGTCTTGAAGAGTTTAAAGTGATCGCGGAGTCATTTACACCGCTGGAGCAGTAACCAGTTCAACAACAGGATCTCTTCAGTTTAGCCTCAGTTTTCATCCCTGCGTGTTTATGTAAACAGGGTGCTATTAACAGCTTGGCTACTCAGGTGCAATCAGGTTGTTCTGGCATTCTTTATTGCTACGCTACCGGCAGCAATCACTGGCAAACCCACACACTCCCATACCACACCCATGTTGCTCATTGCTCGC